TGACGAGAAATTGAAGATGTATCATCCTGTCTCCTAATGGCACTTGTGTGTTCAATCATTCTTGTGCGTAATGCACTCTTGCTCATTTTCAAATATCCTACTGGCTCTACGCACCTGCAGTACAAGGAGCTCTTTTTTTTTTTTTGGAGCGCTACAATTTTCTTGAGTTTTAAAGTTTTATTAATGAAATGCACAACAACACTTTTTGTCAATTAAATGTGCTAAAAATGTGCCATTGCTGCTATATTTAGCTCTGAATTACTTTTTTTGTTCATGTTTTGTAGTTTTTGTTAAATTTAATAGTTTTCATTATCATAATCCTGATCCTTTTTTGCCATTGTTATTTTCAGGATCTCCGTTCATCAATGCCATCATCCATAAAGGATTTGATGAGCGTCATGCATATATCGGTGGCATGTTTGGAGCTGGCATATATTTTGCAGAGAACTCCTCTAAGAGTAACCAGTATGTCTATGGCATCGGAGGCGGCACTGGCTGCCCCACTCACAAAGACCGGTCCTGTTACCTGTGCCACAGGTACATGAACACACCTGATACAATAAGAAATGAAACATAAACAGTGCATTATGCGTTATTGCACTAGATGGTTTTCATAATCTCCTCTGTGTTGATTTCCAAAAGGCAAATGTTGTTCTGCCGTGTGACACTGGGAAAGTCCTTCCTGCAGTTCAGCGCCATGAAGATGGCCCACGCTCCCCCTGGGCATCATTCTGTGATCGGCCGTCCCAGTGTCAACGGTCTGGCCTACGCCGAGTATGTGATCTACCGCGGAGAACAGGTACGGCTGTAAAAGAAAAATTGCTTCTTAAAATGCATCCTGTTTTAAAGCATCACTGCTACTGCTATAGTCAGGTCAGCCTTTATTTAATAAAGCACTTTATACAATGCAGATTGTTTCAAAGCAGCTTCACGGTAATAAAAATGAAAATAACAGAATTAGTGATGCAAACTTCATGAAATCTCTCTAAATATCTCTAAAATAGTGTTTTTTTTTCATTTTCAATGGTTAAATTAAATTTAAGTAATTAAAAAGCATGTCTAATTATTTTGAAATCCATGAATTTAACTACAGTTTATAAAAAACAAAAAACAAAACATTTTTTTCAGGTCCCTTTGAAAATATTTTTTCCCCAAATTCTGTTTTATTTTTCCCAGATTACATGTTTTCCGCTATCATTTTTTATGGATTCTGTTGTAATGGTTAAATTTATCAAAAAGCATGTCTAATAAATTGAAATCAAAAGGCTTATACAATTGAACAACAATTAATAAAAATAAAAAACTTAACAAAAAATTAAATTTTAGGGCTATATGAAATCATTTTTATTTTTTCCCAAATTCTTTTTTATTTTTCTCAAAATGTTTTATTTATTTATTTTGGATTCTGAAAAATTCTCATCCAAATTTAACTTAAATTTAACACATTTAACAACTTCAGTCACAGTCTACGTTATACAGTAAATTATTATATATTTTTTTGTGACTGTATTCCGTCTGCGTTTTTCTGAATTGCAGAAAGCATAAGCTCAATCTAAGCTCAAGTCAGTTCAGTGTTGATTCAGATTCGGTTCAATAACTACGTAAAGTTCATGAATTATGAAACGAGGTAAATTCAGATGTAAGCAGCTCTACAAAGATAACGGTGTCATTATTCAACTCATGTCAGTTCAATGCTGTTTCAGTACAATAACAGTGTTGATGTTACAAAATTTGGCAGTTATGAACAAATTTGATTCAGCTATAAAGAAGAAGCTCTACAGAAGACAGTCGTGTCAATATTCAGCTCAATTCAGTTTAAGTTTTGTTTCGTTCTCATCTGATAGTGTTTGTGTCCAATGCACAGCACCCTTATGAAAGAGACTGCAGGCTGTGATGAATTAGTGTGACTGTGTTGTGTTAATGTGTGTTGTTGTTTTCCAGGCCTACCCAGAGTATCTCATCAACTATCAGATAGTGAAGCCGGAAAGCACGCCTCAGTCCTCCACAGAAGCAGAGCAGAAATCCTAGTCAGACACTGCGTTTCTACATTCACTCACTCACTCATTCGCT